ATTTGTAATGCTCAAAAAAAAAAAAAAAAAAAGTCGGTCAAAGCCCAAGGGGGCAAAAGGGACATTTTACCCCTCAGCCCATTATAGGGGTCTGGAGGGTTCTCCACATAAAACCTGCAAAAGAGAGAAGTGTGAAAAAGAAGGTTGAGAGTAAGCTTGAGAGAGAAAAGAAAGTTGCTGGAGTTTCGTCGGAGAATCACCGACGAAATCCATTCCCTACTAAGATCTACACTCTAGAGTTCTTCTTGGAGAAAATCTAGACTCGCATTGTAGAGATTTCCTCCTCTTTTGTCAAGATCCGAAAGAAAACCAACAAGGTAAGATCTCGAACGATACTTTTCAGATCTGAGATCTTTGTTTGGGAGTAGAGTGTTTAAGTTGACTACCTTCATCCAGGGAAGATCCGCCATTGATTTTGTGAGGAAATCGGACGAAACGTTGAGATCTGAGAATCTTTCCAAGAACGATAAGGATGTTGCCGGACCCCTTTCCGACGCTCATAACTCGTCGTATGATTAAATAAAAATCAAGAAAAAAATATTGGCACATAGGTTGAAGTACAATCTAAAACTTTGTTGAAGAAGTCATTACTGTCTGGATTAAGAATCGAGAGATAGAAAATGGGAAGAACGTTGGAAAACTAATCGAAAACCTTGATTTTCTGCTAGAAAGAGAGAGAAGCCGCCGGCGTGCCACGTGTCAACCGGCTAGAGGACCGCGTGCGCCAACCACCTTTGAACACGCGTCGAATGCCGCTTGGGAAAACGCGGCTCCAACCTCCCTGCGACACGCGTCCCCGACAACGCAACCCTGCCCGCATCCCTCGGCTGACCTGGTACCCGCGCGGTGAAACGAACCGAACCGACGACCCGCGGTCCACCTGAACCACTGTTTCCGAACCAAACCGGCGACCCGCGACTACAGAAAATCCTGGGTGCATGACACTCGCACGTGGAACCTGCGAGTGGTTGCACCCCGGAGCGTGGCTGGCGTGTGGAAGCGCGTGTAAGCTCATTTTCGACCCGTTCGACTTCTGTTTTCCCTATTTTCCTCCTTATTTCAATCCTAACTCCATTTTATATAAAATAGGACCTAATTGAGGGAAAATCACTACCTCTTGATACACGCCAATTGTGTGGAAATGCTGCGTTAGGGCACGCATCATCCAGGTAAGTCCCCACACGAAATTTTAGGAAGCAATACTTGTAGGAATCGCTTGGAATGCATGCATGCTAGTTTAATTATCTTAGGTCATAGCTTTCCGTTATTGATTGTAGATAATCGATTATTAAAAGTAAGATGTATGTTGTGAAATATTATGAGTATTACCTGAGTACTGTTGTTATGCTTTAAGTTTCTGTTTATTATGTATATGTACATTTTCATGCTGAAAGGAGGATGGAAAATTGTGAACTTTGCGCTCCGGGAGTTGATGGATGTTATCGCCCCGTTGAGCTTGTATGTTTACTTTGCATGAAACATATTTGATGACTTTGTATGATAGTTATGTACGTACTCAGTTAGTTTTTATGATTCGCACTTATGATTAAGTCTAGGAATTCTTGGTTAGAGTAACAAGACACTAAGGTATAGACTTAATCCTTGCCCTAGTAAAGCAACAGACCACCACGGCGTACGAAGCCTCACTAGAGTACCCTTAGGCTACTGGTGTGTGATTGGTGTCATAGCTTCGTGGGGGACCAGGGGGTTCCTGATCAGAATCCGACTGCTCTTAGCCGTTTTAGCATGAAAAACGTGTGCCCACGTCGTATAGACCATTTAGCTGGATGGGTTAAGGGGGGTAGCTCTCCTCGACCAGGGAGACTGTCATGGGCCTAGCGGGTTGTAGCTCACTTCCTAGGTAAGTTACCAGTTAGTCTCAGAGTCATGTCGAGGTAGCTACTTATAGGACACTAGTCATTACACAAGTCAGCATAAGGGAGTTCTTAAGAATCTTTAAACGAAAGGACAAAGGACCAAGAAGCCGCGAGGGGCAAGTCCCAAGGTGTTAAAACGAAAACCAGATGTCTTAGAGCTAAAGTAGAGTCCGTGGGGGGTTTGTTAAGATTAGGATGCGATAAGAGCCTACAAGTAAGTGGCTTACTGAGTATACATTCTTACTATACCTTTCTTTTTCAGGTACGTGAGGCGTCGAGTCAAGAGAGGGTGCGTTGATCGATGTGTGTTGTCACAGAGGAAGCTTGTCCTGGGGCGTCAGTCTAGTTTTACTGAATAGTACACCTTGTCTTTCGTGATTCTGTTTTTTTTTACCTAGACACATAAGTCCTTTTGGTAATGAAATGTTTTTCTTACGAAATAAAATGAAATACTTTTGAAATAATGTTTTCCTTGAATTTCTCGCTTACACACTATACGTCATAGTCATTGTTAGCCACGACTTGAGGTTATTTATTTCGGGTCATGACAGTTCATGATTAGGAGTTACGCTCCAATCGAACCTACATGATATTAATCGACCCAAAACAATCAATATGGACTCTAATCATGGTTCAAGGTAAAATAATAACTAAGGCTCACAAACTCATCATACAGATACTCTAGAACACACAACATCTATCCAAAGCATTCAAGTGGGCACACATGAATTTTTCAACCCTCTTATCATGCTCCTACGGATAACCAAGACATAAACCAATATTATCATGCTCATTCATCATAAAAATAAGGCATAAACCAATATCATCATGCTCATTCATCATAAAAATAATCATATATGGTATATGGCATGTCAAGGTCCTCATATAGTCAACAGATAAGTCAGAGTCACATTCGTCGCGACAAAAGTACTAAACCATACAATCGAGGTAAATCGTTTCTCCATTCAATCTCCTATACTTAGCTAGCAAGTTCATGCTCATTTAAGTCTATTATATGCTGAATATTCTTGTGTCCAAAGTCCCAATCGACTCCTTATTTCTTTGCATAAAAGGCCAAACACCTACGTCCTTGTTAAAACATCTTCGGAACCATTTCTAGCACGTCTTTACCTCTAACCTCTAGTTAGATGTTGCACCCAAGCCCCCAGTGGATGGCAGAAAATGAACAGTTCATCGTGAGTATCGAAGAAAACTTACTGGTTGAAGTCTCAGCAAGTGGCCTGAGTATCGTACACAGCCCCCACAAGCTGCTGCAAGCATCTTTTTCATCAGCCACCTATTCCAGTGGGGGTCAAGCCTTGTCCTTCCCGAACTGTGTCCTTCTTAGCACCGTCAATCGACTCCCAAAATTTCTTGCCCCTGCTCCTTCAGCTTTAAACAAGAAAAGCAAGAGGGTTACCCACAATTTTCTCCTTTTGAAGAGAAAAGAACAGAGGGAAAAAACGTGGCCATTATATGCATTGATCCCCACTACCTGTTCTTTCTTGTAAATTTACGCTAAATTATTGAGCAAAAGAATTCGAATAATTCTCTCATAGTTCCATGGAAGTTCGAAGCTATTACTTAGTCGAGAAGGATGTTCGAAACTTACTTAATGGAGAAGATTGAAAGGATGGTCTCATAGCCTTAAATCTTCAACCACCAATCATCTCGTCAAATCCCCCGATCCTTCCGATTCTCATCTCAAAATGCACAGCAGCAAAGCACCCAAAATCACCACCCCGTTCTCCTCCGCCGCTGCCAAATCACTCGCCGATGACGACGATCTTTTACTCGAGATCCTTCTCCGCTTACCCATCCGATCACTTATACGATTCAAATCCGTCTCAAAACGATGGCTCTCCCTAATTTCCGATCCCACTTTCTGTCACCGTCGAATGACTTTTCAGCCGTCCACTCCTTCAGGTATCTTGTGCCGTCCTCACTCGCGTCGTTTTTCCCCTGGATTCGATTTCGTCTATTTGCACCCAAATCCGCCTAGGGTGCCGTTGGAATCACTTGAACCTTCTGTGCCGAAACGTAGATTTGTAATCCTGAAATCCTGTAACGGCTTGTTGTTGGGTAGATCGTATCGGAAGAACGATTATTACGTATACAATCCAACGACGAAGCAATACAAAAAGCTTCCCAAGCTTCAGATGAACAAAAACAGCACAAGCATTTATCTTAACTTAGCATACGATCCTTTACGATCATCAAATTACAAAGTTGTTTGCGTTCGAGTTTTAGATTCCACAAACTTCGAAATCAAGATTTACTCGTCCGATTCCGGCTTCTGGAGGCCCTGCTGCGGGGGTTCATCCAAAGCTCTTTTCATCCTGGGATTCAGCTGTGGAGTGTATTGGAATGGAGCTTTGTATTGGTTAAGATATTTGGAAAACTGCATTTGCTTGGATCTGTGCGAAGAGAAACTCCATCGATTAGCAATACCTCGAGCTTCCGATGGTTGGGGAGACAGAACTATAAAGTATTTTGGGAATTGGTGTGGGCGTCTTTACTGGATCGAAGGTGTTGATTCTGAAAGTACGGAATTGATTGTGTACGAGATGGGAGATGATCGTGGTTGTGGGTGGTCTGTGAAGTATAGGGTTGATCTTCAAAGAGTGTGTAGTTTGTTCCCAGATCCGAGTTCGGGAGTAAGAGCGGCGTTGAACTCCAAGTTCTCGGTGCTCGCCATTGTTGATCAGAGCGAGGTAGGCGAGGAGGAGCCGTACATTGTTCTTCTGAGCGGCGGAAATGCCATTCGAGTGAACGTGATGAGTGGGAGGTTTGAAAGGATGCAGTACTTAAATAATGGACGAACTGCCAACACTCCCCACGGGGTTGGACTAATTGATGCCCATTTCTACATTCAAAGTCTTGCTTGTGTTTAGCTCTGTGTTCGTATGCTCCCATCAATTACTATTTTAAAGGTTTATGATTCAATTAATGGTTTTGTAAATCCAGTTTATATTAAAGTTTAGAACGTTACTGTAACAATCCAAACCCACCTCCTAGTAAATATTGTTTGTTTTGTTTACGTATTATAGTCAATTCCACTATTTTAAAATTCATCTACTAGAGAGAGATTTCCACACTTTTATAAAAGAATTTTTCCTTCCCCTCTTGAATCGACACTTTTATAAAATAATGTTTCATTTCCCTCTCGGATCTATGTGAACTCTATATGAAGCTAGTGTCCTCACTGGCATAACCACTTGGTGTCTAGCTTTGATACTATTGTAACAATTCAAACTCACCCCTAGTAGATGTTATCCGCTTTGGTCCATTAGTAATATATTTGGTTCCATTATCTAATTGATATCAATGTATCTAACAGTTAATTTAATAAGAATGTTATCACTTTGTCGGAAAGTATCAAAATTATCTCCTGAACTTAAAAAATTTAAAAGGTTAACTTAAAAAGTTTTAAAATATAATTACCAAATGATTAATAATTTGTTCCTTCGAAAAAGATTTTAAAATTAAGCTCATCTTTCAAAACTGGTTCAAAAATAAGTTTTTAATTTTTTTTTTATTAATATTCTTAATTTTTTTAAAATATTTAAAAATATTCTTTTAAACTTTTTTAAATACTTCAAAATAAATTTCTTTAATTTTTTTTTAAAACTAAAAAATATTCTTACTCTGTCATTGGATACTTTTAATTTGGAGATAATCTATAAATTATTGAGAGACGGTAATAAAAACTATATATATATATTTTGGTATATTTAAAATTATTAATTTTACTATTTATTGAAACAGATGGTTAATTTGATATTAAGGTATTAATTTAGACAGGTTGACTTGGTATTTTAATATTATTGAAAGATTAATTGGATAAAATCAAAACGTAGGGCTGAAAAATGGCCTAAAACCCAAGTAAAAAGGAGACGAAGTTGCCTATATAATACAGGTTCCAATCGCCATATCTGCATTCAGCCGAATTCATCGTCGTCTTCGCTTAATCCACGAGCCAATTTCCCTTCCACCAACCCTCTCGCCCTCTCCATCAAACCAAACCACCACCAAGGAGAGGCAGAGAGGTTACCCATTCTCAACCCATTTTCTCCTTTACTGTTAATCCAAGAATCCCATTTCGTCTAATCAAACCAACAATCATCCTTCCCTTCATTTCACAGATCTGAGTTTCTGTTTATACATTTTGATTCTCATTTCAGAACTATATATTGCATAGATCCACACCCCTGTTCCTCTGAAGATGGATTTTCTTCGACATTTTGTTCTCGTTTGCGTGATTTCTGTAGCCTTCGCTCATGAAGCTTTCGATTCTCATCTCCTTCCTAGGCCGCTTATTCTTGAATTTCCTGATAAAGTGGAGAATCAGTTGAAGGAACTGGATGGAGAAATCAAGTTGAGGTGTGATAGTTGGAGATTTAATGTGGAGGCTAACAATCTGAATCCGTGGAAAACGATTCCCGAAGATTGTTCTGATTATGTGAAAGAGTACTTAACCGGTCGTGCCTATCAACTTGAAATGGAACTTGCATCGACGGAGGCTGAGATTTTTGCCCAGAGTGTGAAATTGGTTGGCGATGGAAAGGATGTCTGGGTTTTCGACATCGACGAGACCTTGCTTTCTAATCTTCCTTACTACGGAGACCATGGTTATGGGTAAGATTTTCTTGGTTCTGTTCAGATTTCTGTATGCTGCCTTCAATTTTTTACGATCACTATGGATTTTGAAGAGTACGTTCTTGACTTGTTTGGGTATCATGAAGCTTTTGGATTAGGGCCAACTGAACTTCTGTGTTCTTATTTGTTGATCATAATATTGAAGTAGATAACCACATTACAGAATTTTGGGACGTAGCTGAATTTCTTTATTGAGTTTAGGTTTAGGGATATTAAATCATATTCTCTCTTACCTTCTCGAACGAACAGTCTGGAGATTATGATTTGCAAAAGTTGTTGGCAATCACGAACCTCCGCAATGGTATGATATTATCCACTTTAAGCATAATTTCTCATTGCTTTGCTTATGGCTTCGCTTTTGGTTTCTCAAAAGGCTATTCCTAAACGTAGGACTCCTATCCCAACAATCCTCAACCATTCTCAATAATCCTCTCCTCAAACAAAGTACGTTATAGAATTCCCAACAATCCTCTCCTCAAACAAAGTACATTATAGAGCCTCCCCTCCCCTGAGGTGAGGCCTACGGAGCCATCGAATAGCCTCCCCTTAATCAAAGTTCGACTCCTTCTCTAGAACCCTTAAACAAAGTACACCATAGAGCCTCTCCTATGGCCTATGGAGCCCTCAAACAGCCTCTCCTTATCGAGGCTTAACAACTTCTTTGTTCTACGTTTGAGGATTCTATTGCCATGACTAAGTTAAGAGCATGGCTTCTTTGTTCTACGTTTGAGGATTCTATTGCCATGACTAAGTTAAGAGCATGGCTTATTTGTTCGACGTTTGAGGATTATATGGATTCTATACTAAGTTAAGGGCAGGACTTTGATACCACGTTAGAAATCACAAACATAGCTTATAGACCCATGATGAACCCTTTAGCCGATGTAGGACTCCTCTCCCAACTCAACAAATGTAGCTTAGTTTATCTACGTATCTAATATTTCATGAAATAAGATCTTGGAACACTTTTGCATTTTAGAATTCATATGCAAAGTTGGCAATGTCACAGCTCGCAGGTTTTTAATGCTGATGAGTTTGATAACTGGGTCCTGAGGGCTACAGCACCTGCTATTCAGCCAAGTTTAAAACTCTATATAGAGCTAATGGATCTGGGATTCAAGATAGTTTTGCTTACTGGAAGGAGCGAACGCC